GTCTAAAGTCACCTGACAGGAGACTCTTTATAACACTGCAGGGTCATAGTTAATATATAAACAAACTACCATGTGGGCAATTGAGCAAAGTGATGCTTTTTCCCCTGAAGAGGCAGTCATACGCAGATAAATTATTCTAGGTAATTATTCCGTCATGATAGTTAGTTTATTACAGTCCACTTTTATTAATGTGGCTCCAGCTCTCATGATCATCCACTACAGCCTCTAAATACCCCATAAGGTGGCCTAAAGATAGCCTAAACCAAAGTATCTTTGAATTCTTTTACATTATTGCTGTCACAACATTGCTACAAAATAATCCTATACTGCCATCTAGTGGCTGCATTGCTGTACTCCCCTCCCTCTCTGTCCAGTCCTGTTTGGATTGTGCAACAGTTAGGAATGAGGATTTACGAGTTTCAGTTCTGCTTCAGGACCCATCTGCTGTAAGAGTACGGTGTGGCTTCACTCTGTGTATGCACACCTGTCAGTAAGAGAAATCTGGGAAAGTATATTTGCACAGGTGAGTCAGGATCAAACGACTGTGTTCACAGTAAGATTTGTGATGGGCAGAGCTAACTTTGGTGCACACATGAAAGACTGAATTTGATCTGATTGAAGTCCCTGCCCAAGGAGTTCAGCTACAATCCAGTTTATCAGCTAAATCTGATGCATTGTATCTCCTCTGATTAACTGAGATATGTTGTACATGTTCCCTGACTAACTAAATAATAAACTAAACGAATTGGAAATAATGACAATATGTGAACACACTGAAACCATCAAGTACAATAAAGAACAAAAACAAAGTCAAACTTTAATCATTTAGATAATCATTAAATGCTGACCTTATAGTATTGTGTGATTTTATGATTTGTGACACTCACTGTAGTATTGCTCATTGAAAAAATAATTGAGAGTCAGCTCAAGCTGTGTTGTTGGGACTTGTGTGATAAACAGTTATGATTGGGAAGAGAGTATAAATAATAAGGATAAAGAAAAACAATGTGTCCGTTATAATAAACTAAGTGTTAACCGTATACTGATTTAAGGGGCAGAAATGTCTAATGGCAACAGTTGTGTTGTTGTTGCACAAAGTCGACACCAAACACTTTCTCAAAGAGCTGACAACTCAGCAGATACAACTCAACACTGCCCCCCTGTGGTAGGAAGGGTGAATGGATGGCTTCCCAAACCTCTGGCTCCATGTAGGAAGCAAAGAAAACGTGCCTGTATTTCTAGAGGCAGTTCTCCAAATGAAGCACAAGAACTTCATGTTTAAAAAAGTAGCCTAAATCTTACAGTCTTGTTTAAAACATCAAGTATGAAAGTACAAAGGAGGAAGTAGAGACTGGAAGTAGATTTCAAAATGAGTCAGTTCCGTTCATGTTCTTACAGTACATGTCTTTACAGTTCATGTCTTTACAGTTCATGTCTTTACAGTACATGTCTTTACAGTACATGTCTTTACAGTTCATGTCTTTAAGGTACATGTCTTTACAGTACATGTGTTTACAGTTCATGTCTTTACAGTACATGTCTTTACAGTACATGTCTTTACAGTTCATGTCTTTACAGTTCATGTCTTTACAGTACATGTCTTTACAGTTCATGTCTTTACAGTTCATGTCTTTAAAGTACATGTCTTTACAGTTCATGTCTTTACAGTACATGTCTTTACAGTACATGTCTTTACAGTTCATGTCTTTACAGTTCATGTCTTTACAGTTCATGTCTTTAAGGTACATGTCTTTACAGTTCATGTCTTTAAGGTACATGTCTTTACAGTTCATGTCTTTACAGTTCATGTCTTTACAGTACATGTCTTTAAGGTACATGTCTTTACAGTTCATGTCTTTACAGTACATGTCTTTAAGGTACATGTCTTTACAGTTCATGTCTTTACAGTTCATGTCTTTAAGTACATGTCTTTACAGTTCATGTCTTTACAGTACATGTCTTTAAGTACATGTCTTTACAGTTCATGTCTTTACAGTACATGTCTTTAAGTACATGTCTTTACAGTTCATGTCTTTACAGTACATGTCTTTAAGGTACATGTCTTTACAGTTCATGTCTTTACAGTACATGTCTTTAAGGTACATGTCTTTACAGTTCATGTCTTTACAGTTCATGTCTTTAAGGTACATGTCTTTACAGTTCATGTCTTTACAGTTCATGTCTTTAAGGTACATGTCTTTACAGTACATGTCTTTAAGGTACATGTCTTTACAGTTCATGTCTTTACAGTTCATGTCTTTGCTGTGCCAAGCCTACCAGCGATGAAAAGTAACCATGCAAACTTGTTAAAGAATGAAGTACAATTCAAACAACTTTTAGTCACCATGTTCGGAGAAAATTGTAGCATACGACTGACAATCAAGAAGAGTGTATACCCTCTGGAGACTATACTCCACATACACCCTGCATTACACCACAGAGTATAAAACATCTGACGATATCATAACTAACTTAGAGACTTTAAATACACGCAGCAGACAGGACTTTACTAACAGCTCTTCTCTAAAAGTTTGAATGTAGAACTTGTATTTGAAGGGGAGTACTCCTATATAGTTGTTTTACAAAAAAATATTATCAGATTATGTATTCTAACACTGCTTTTAGTGATGATTTGTACAGATTTTGTAACCCTTCATATATAATAGATTTGTTTCAGTTTTGGCAGACACAATTTTTGCAGATACTTCCTGAATCTGTTCTCCTTGACCAAAGATTACTTAAATTCATAATGTTAAAGCAAGTAGGAGCCGTTTCCTTTAACAACTCACAAATAAAAACAGGTTTAAAAGCAATCCTTTAAGGTGTATTATAAAGACTCTTTTGAGGTGATTTTCTCATTTCTTAGTTTTTTTCTTTTGAATGTTTGCGTGCCTTAAGTAAAAGGGGGAGATCAGTGTTGAGCAATAGCTGATCTGTGTCACATAAGGCTCCCACGGTGCTTAAGCCGGGGATATTCACTATCTAAAAACATCCGTTTCTGCGTATTTACAAGCTTGAGGTTCTTAGTGAGATTACTTGAGCTCATGACGCCGACATTTTTCTCACTCACCATTCTGTTCACCAGCTTTCTACCTCCTCAATCTGCCCCAAGGCCAACACTGTTTTAATATCACACAGGGGCTCTGACTCTGCTCCCCAAAGGTCTGACATGAAACAGAAAGACCCAAATGTTAGCGACAGGCCGTGTGAGTCCGCTTAGCTGGCGTAGTGAAGCGTGATGCACACAGCTAGTCTGCATATGCATTTTATTATTTCACCTGATGACACATTGGGTTTAAGCCCAGTGTTTTATGCAGCATGTGGCCACTGACATATGTGTGTTGTGAGTTGCTTTATTTTATTTGCAAGGACACATGAATGTTTAGGTTACTGTGTGTGTGTGTGTGTGTGTGTGTTGGTCTGTCTGTGCTTACTCGACTGTAAGTTTCAGACATGCCCTCTGAATAATTCAGGTTTTTATGTTGCTATGGTTGTCTTTGAAATGGCTGCTTGGGCCGGCACACACACTGATATGAGCATGCTGACAGATGTGAACACCTCCTTAGACTCACCAAAAGGAGGGAGAGAGAAAGATTTTATGAATCCCCCCCTCCCTCCCTCCTTCCCGCCACACCCCCCCCACACACACACACACACACACCTCTTTACCTCCCCCATCACTTCACACTCCTATTATTATTAAAACTCTTATTAACCAGCCTGGCCCGGGATGTGGGGTTCCCTGCTGTTACAACACAATGAGGAGACTGTGAAAAAATGTGGCAGGTTTCCTGCTAATGGAACACCTCCAAGGGTCTTATCTCTGTTGTAATCCCTGAAATCTAACATTATAGTTATATTCCAAACCCGAACTCAAACTAGAATACCCAGCTGTTCAAGCTGCTTAAATCCAATCTATAAGAAACTGCTTAATCTTACAAGAGAACACGGCTAAATGGCAAACATGGCAAAAATACAAAATTCTTTATTTGGGGGCTTTTGTGAAATATATATTTTCTCAAACTGTTAACTCTAGGTGTGAAATGTTGCCTGTATGCATTTCTCACATTACAGGGAAACATTTTAAATAGCATACTTCCAAAAGCCAACAGTTTGAAGTGGTTAGAGCCCTGGGCAAACTGGCAATTTGTGTAAATACTGAATATGGACAAAGTGCAGAACAATGCCATAAGCCAAGTCCTTCTATATCCTTCGCCTCTAGCAAGTTAATGGTAAACAGTAATGCCATTGAAAGTCAAAAAAAAAAAAGTGTCAAAGGTAAGGCTATTGAATGTGTCTGAATACCTCACAGTGGACAATAGTTAAGTCTTTCTTTTTTTAAGTGGTTTAAAACGCAAACACACAATCAAATGTGTCTTTGGAGTAGGTATTGATGGAGGTTGCAGAATAAAGAATAAAGAATAGTGGGCTCTGGGAGGTGGTGGGGGGGGTCATGGCTATGAGGAGAAGCCAAGAAAATTGGAGTGAACTTGTTTAGAACAGTTGAAAGGGAAAATTCAACATTTTTTCTTTTCTTTTTTTTTTTTTTTTCCAGTCAGTCTACGTCGGAGGCGCGCACGCAGCTCTTGTGGCGACAGGCAGAAAGAGAGAGAGAGAGAGAGAGAGAGGGAGAGAGAGGAGACGTGTGATTTCTCTTTGTACTGTATGAAGAGTTGAGGCCGGCTCTGCTACTACTACTACTGCTGCTGCTGCTGCTCTCTCTCTCTTTTTTTATAGGCAGAGTTTGCATGCTGTAAATAGCCCAATAAGCCGGTTACACTTAACGTTACAATCGTGCTGTCGGTCCCGTTGGTTTGAGGAAGCGACCATCACCTGCCAATGTCCATTTGAGTGAATTTGGACAACAAAAGCATCAGGTCAAACGTTTTGTTTCTTCAGGGGGCTTTCAAGTCACATTCATCAGTCGGGATTTTTCAGTGCGGAGAAAAAAAGCGACAAGCCTCTTTTTTTTTTTTTTTTTTTTTTTTTTCCGTCGCCCCTTTTCACACTTTCAACACCTACGGGGGTCGAATCTTTTTTTTTTCTCTCTCTCTCTCTCTTCCCCCCCTCCCCCGACCATGGCTGCTGTAACAAGCCCGGAGACGAGCCCTCAACCCCGGGTGTATTTCCAAACGCCGGCCGGCACCACGGAGGAACCGGAGACCCCCGTGAGGAAGCAGGGACGCGTAACCGTCAAATACGACCGCAAGGAGCTGAGGAAGAGACTGAACCTGGAGGAGTGGATTATCGACCAGCTCACGGACCTCTACGACTGTGAGGTAAAGACCCAAACAATAACCGGCCGCGAAACCGATCGAACGAATCGATGAGGCGGCTCGCCTAAGTAATTGGGCTCCCCGGCGCAGCCCCGTGAGTCAGTGCGTCAGGTCGGTCTGTCTCCTCCAGAGGCAAACTGTTGAGAAAGCAACATTAAAAAAGGCCTTTTTTTTGCTGCTGCTTTTGGCCTAGCCTCGAGTGTACTATAGTCTATAGTCTGTGGGCCATATGCTCAAGAAGATGAGGTAATGTAGGGGGGGGGGGGGACTGGCAGAGTCTGAGTGGACGGTACCAGAACAAAGAAGTCGTGTTAAAAACAGTCACTTCAGGGTGTTTTGTGGTTTAACTCACTCACTCACTCACTCACTCACAGGTTGGCTAAATGTAGCCGAAGAAGCTTTATAGCCCCATCATGAAACAGTCAGCGTGTGCTCCTCTGCTCTGATTGGCTGAAGCTGCTTTAAAGCACACCTGTGAATTAATTGAGTCCAATATTATTGGCTGACTGGAATGAACAACTTCTGTCATATTTTATGGGGCGATGTGCGTTGTTTAGCACCTGTTGAGGGTTTTTAAATACATACTTAATAATGTCAAATCATATAGTTGGAATTCTGGACACATTGGCAATTCTGTGTAAAAACGTGTTCATCTGTGTTTGGTTTACCCTGACTAGAATCCTTGTTGCCCCCCCCCCACACCCCTCCCTTCAGTCTTTCCTCTTCTAATTGCAAAATTTTAAGTATAGCCAAATGTTGGGGGGAGGTGGGGGGTGGTGCTGTTGGCAAACACCAGACTCATGAGGTGATACTGATTAGTCTAGGTGGGGGGTCCTAGGCACATCTTCTTGTCATGGGGGCCCCTCGTAATGAGCTCCTTTGGCTGTCGTAATGACTGTGCATAATTATCAGTTGCAGAGAAGAGCTAGCTTTACAGTCTCTGTGCACTGTCACAAATCAAAGCGTTGGTCATGGTTAACACATGGGGTCGCAGCGTTTTCCTGGTGGCAGCTGCGGCGTAGCTCCTGGCGTCAGTAGTTGGTAAGCTCATGTCGACTTAACTGAGCTGGCCGTGGCCCACATTCTATTCCTAGCGTGAGGAATACAACGACTTAACAGGTTTGAGATAAAATCCTGGTTGGGTTAACTGTGAGAGGAAAGTCCGGAGTGCAAGAGGCTGGAAGCAATGTAACACTTTCTCACACATAGAGGTCGGGCCAGTCTGCAGGGGATACAAAAAGTTTGACTTTGTTGGTGCGGAGTAAAACAGAAGAATCTGGGTTTGGCTTCTTGCCTTTTATTTCCTGTGACGTGCCTTGCAATTCCCCAATCAAAATGTTCTGCTTCAAACTCGGATGTTTCTCAACAGACTCTTCAGAAGGTCTGGGGTTTTTCTTAACATGTGCACCTACAAGTCCAAAATCCATTCTGACAAACTGTTTCTAATCGCAACTGGATATTATTTCAAGCATCATTTAAAAAAAACAAAAAAAAAAACGAGTGATGAAACAAGAAGCCTCTTTCATCATCTTTTGAAGACCAGATCATTCTCTGTCTGGAATCTTTGTTTGTATCAGTCTTTCATTTCGACTTTTGTGACGATAGAAATGCATAATGATGAAGTAGCGGGGATGCTACAGGGACTCACATGCCAGCAGAAGTGATTAAATGGCCTAGAGGGGATTTTGAAATCAATGTGCTTTGATTGTCTGCCAATAATTGATTGAAATGCAATGCATTAAAGCCATGCCGAGTCCAAAAAAAAAAAAAAAAAGTACGATAAGAATAGTTCAGGAGGAAATCTTTTCTAGTTTGACCTTTTCATAATTCACCAAATCAGCAAAGGTCAGTGTTGGTTAAAGAATAAATCTGTTGTTGTGAATAATCTTATTGTGCAGGACCCCGTGATTTATAGCAGGCCGTTCTCATTTTCTTTAATAAATATTTCCCAGAGTGGATTCAGCCAGTCATTGACCCATCCTGCATCCATCTTTCATTCCCTAATCCACTCAGTCTGTCAGTCACGCATGCTTTAATGCACTGATGCTTGATTGCTGGTCTGTTTTCCAACTGAGCAAACAGGGCCACATGTAGTCTGAAAAGCTGCAGAAAAGGTTAAGCAAGGTCAACGAGACCTGTTTCTTTACTACAATATTATAAGTCAGATAGTTAAATCAGTTTAGTATAGTATTTCAGTTATTTATGCCATTTTTTTTTGGGACAAAAATCTGTCATTCATCTGTAGTGATGATGTCTGTCTTTTTTGCTGCCATCCACAGTGGTTCCCCATTTTTCATTGCTCCAATCCCGTCTCTCCCTAGACAACAAAGAGATTAATTTACAGTCGGTTCACTGAGACACATTGGACTCATTTAGACGGGGAAATGTGGAGCACGTGCTGCTAAACAGTGTAACTGGAGAGGCAGCTTCAGCCGGTCAGAGAGCAGAGCGGGGGTACTGGGAGAACCCTGTTCCCTAACAAAAGACAACGGCGCGTGTGGCCTTGGATTTTTACACCTTTATCTCTTCCTTTATCCCTCCTTCGCTGCATCCTGTGCTTCTTCTTGTCTTGTGAATCATTTAACGCCCTGATTTTCACAAGTCGCCCATCAGTATTTGCTGTCCTCTTGATTATTCTTTTCTTTCTTGGACGCATTTATTGACTATTAATAAAACCTCATGGAGCTTGTTCAACAGGGAATTCATAATGAGCTGTTTCCCCATTCATATAATCCCTTTAAACATGCTACAAGCAGTCAGCCAGTCCTTTTTTTTTCGCCAGGCAGCTTGTCAGATATTCATCCAGCCACTTAGTCAGCCTACCAGTCAGAGTTGCTGTGGGTAATCGTAAGGAGCCGAGCCTTAGTATGATTCCATGGCAACAAGGCTTTTTAAATGTTTATGTTGGTTAACCACGCAATGGAAAAAAAAAAAAAAAAGATGGCATCCATTTAGTAAAAGAAAGCTACGTGAAATTCTATCACTTCCCAAAAGCCTCCGTTTGCATTGTCTTTCTATGAAAGATTATAATTAGACCATTTCAGTGAATATAATAGCAGGTGGCTGGAGTTGATGTTAATGTGGCATTTGCTTTGTTGAAGAAACAATCCCTGGTTTTGTTAAGGTGCCAAATATAGCAGTAATTCACAGCTAGGGTATGACTGCAGCTGTTCAGGGGAATGTTGGTATTTGAAGGGAAGTATAAGGAATAGATACAGTCATTTCATATATCAGCTGACTCAACATGTAGCTGTAACACCTCCTGCACTGTGTCTCGCAGTGGAGGATACAAGAAAGCCTGTAAGCAAGTGAGCTAGAAGTCGACTATTTTTTGGAACACATTTGGATTATGATGATTGATGTCATTTAAAGAGTTTAATCAGAAATGTCTGAGTATTTGGAAAAGCCTCAAATACCCCCAATTCCCATCCTTCAGAAAGATTCCTGTCAGGAAGTGTTTGTTTTCAAAATCACACTGTACCTTTTCTTACTGACACACTTTAGCATCTCTTTGGAAAATAAATCCGTCGGGGGGGGGGTTACACTCACCAAGTCTGCAACTCCACTTCTTGTACAAATGATCAAATTTTGCCATAACCTTGAAATTACCATCGCCATGGTAACCGTGCTGTTAAATGTTAATTCGTCAGACTTGCAGTAGTTTCTCTCAGCGCTCTGGAGATTACGAGTAGCTACAGAGTTAACAGTGAAGCGAGTGGGCGGACCAATCACTGAACTCCAGGGTCCTACGTGGCCACATGCACACGCACACACACACACACACACACACACACACACACACACACACACACACACACGGAACATAGATGGGGAATAGGTGTAGAACAGAGGCAGGATCGGTGAGCAAGAATGCAATAAACAGAAGGAAAGGGGGAAAAAAGCTAGAGGGGATGAGCAGAAGGAAAAAAGTAGTAGGAGTAGGCAGGGATGTCAGAGTGGGAGAGAGTGTTTTTGTAACATGTGTCCTCTGCTATTATGCTACTTGCGTTACACACTTAAGGGTAGATAGCAAGTTATATAATGGTAGTGACTGAAGTCCTCTTTTTAAACTGCTGTTAGACTCAGCGAGGCCCTGAAAACAATCCAGAGACTTCTGACGGCTCATTTTAAAGATACAAATGACTTTTCCCCCTCAGGTTTAAATGCATCATTCCTTACTAGTGTTTCAGTTTCACTCTGCTTCGTTGTCTTCTCAACAGGAAGACGATCACAGAAGTGATATTTCATACCAAGTAAACATGCATCCCGGTGTTTGTATGACTGTGAGTGTCAGTCACTCAGAGGAAAATTTGCAGGACGGGGGTGGGGGGGGGGGGGGGGGGGGGGAGCCTGGTTGTTGGAACAGCTGTAATTTCATAGCTTTGCTGCTCATGGATTAAGTTGGCCTCTTTTACTGGCTTCACATTTTAAGAGGACACACACACACAAAAATACACACACACACAAAAATACACACATGCATTTGCTTGAACCTTCAACTTAAAGGTCTGAATACCAATCAGCATGACCCTGTTTCACTGGGTGTGTGTAAGAGGGTGACTACAAAGAGTGGTTGTTACTCAGCTGGAGTGAAAGACTCCAGTGTGTCTTTGTAAACACCCCACACGTTAGAGCACACACACACACACACACACACACACACACACACACACACACATATCCTGTTAATAGGTTTCATGTGGCTCTCCATGTTGAACACAGTGTGTGTGTGTGTGTGTGCACGCATTTCTGTAGCCTGACCTACTGACTGACCCTTTTTTTTTTTTTTTTTGTGAGAATAAATCAACCAAGTTAGAGATAAAGGCAAAGAACGATTTGAGTGAGGGAGACTGAGCATGTGTTTGGTAAGTGTCTGACTAAGAACGGCAGGAAGTGAAGAACACCGAGCACGAGTATGCGCCATTGGATTTAAAAAAAAAAAAAAAAAAAAACGAGGATGAGAGACAGAATTAGGGATGTGAGTCATTCAGGGGAATGTTCAC